AAAACGGAAAGACAAAACTGGCAGTAAAAATTCGGGATATAAAATAAGTGGTCAAACAAATTAAAGTAAACCTCGCAAACTCTTTATTTCAATTTCCTGCAGTTTCTTGATTTAGAATTTTATTAAATTTCAGTATCAGTTTTTTATAATTCAGAATGCAGAACTAAGATTTCGTGAAGTTATGTCATGAAATCTATGGTTCTATCAATGAAAAAACCTTTATTTTGAAGATAGAATGCCCATTATATTATAATTTATGCGTTTGTAAATGCTCTGAAAAGTAAAATGTGCAAACGTAAATGTAAATGCTCTGAAAAGTAAAACGTGCACCTTATACCTTTTTCATCTTTCTCTGAATCACATATCTCTAGTTGTAAAGTCATTTTTACTAAATTGTTTGGTCTGTTACATAACAATTAGTTTTATTTCAGCATTTAAAGTTTCATTTTAATACTTTTGGTAATCCTGATGGGAAATCAGTCCTTTTCCACTAAATAACGCACAAAAATCACGCAAATTAGTAATATTCCTAAGTCGATATTTACCAAATGCAACCCAGACAAGATGATCTTGCTGCTGGAAATAATCTAACATGAATTTGGATTAAAATTTAGTGCGATTTCATTTTAAATAAAAAATCTGAAAGCTTTCAGATTTTATATTACGTTCAAACGGACTTTTTGTTTTCATTTGGCGACACATACAAGTTTCGAGAACATTTGGCCTAATGTCGCTTTGGTCTAAAAATATTTAAAAACAGCATAACTTTAGAATTTCGGATAGACAGTCTCGCGCGCTGGAGATAAAAACGTCTTATTCCGTACGCTGTGTTGCCACTGCTCTCTTTGAAATCATTTTCTTATTCAAAAATTCTTTAAAGATTAAAAAATAAGAAATAAATAATAAAACAAATTCGAAATTCAAGATTCGGAATTCTAGGTGATATTCAAGTTGAAGACTACGTTGTTCCAAATTTGATGGCTCTAGGTATCACTCTTTATCACAATATCAGAAACATACATACATTCATACAGATTCTTAATTATTTAATTTCTTTAAGTATAATATTGGGTAACAATATTTGTTGGTAACAATTTGGTATCATACGTATTTTCAAAATAAAGTAGTGATTAAAATGAGGTAAGTAGCATAAATTGAATTTTATCATTTTATAGTTTTCCCATAGGTAAATAAGTCCAATTAGTAATACATTATTTATGCTTCAATAGATTTAATACAAAACTTTCCTACCTACAAAACTAACGGAGACATTCCAGAACGAAACTGAATTCTATCATTTTTAATGCTTATTGCTAAATGATTCTGAATAAATTTTGCACAGAATTAGGAAGAAAGTAAAAAAATATATTTGCATTGGAGATAAGTGGTCTGCATTTCGACAAGGGTAACACTCGTAACTACTTTTGTAACTGATCCCAAGAAATAATAAATTCAGATGTCGTCTTCGAATTCAGGTAATTTGTTTTTTAATTTAGTTTACGAAAGAATAATCATTGTTTTACCTAGAAACAGTGTTCTCTGCTGGTACCATAAAGAAGAATAAATTTTATATTTCAAAAGAACTCTCTCCTACAATATTAAAATTGTTTTTAAAATATTGTTTTCAAAATCTTTGCAATTACCAATGCGTATCTAAAATCGAAATTAAAATATATAATGTTTATAGCCATCGTTTATAAATATACTTTAAATATTTTACAGTATACTGATATTTTCTGCAACACATGAAATAATAAATGTTTTAAATAATGATATTATTTTAGTTACGAGAAATAATATCATGTATTCTAGCTGTTGCCGAAGGCCAAAGGTGAACCTTTTTTATTATATCAAGAAATAAAAGGCTTAAGGGGATTAGTAAATAAATATTTTGGCTTATTTAAACAACATACGTCTAACATTTGCAAACGTTTTATGCACGTGGTAAATAAAAAAAGGGCGGTTATGAAATTTGCTCATATTGCAGTAAAACTAATAATTTGAAAATGCAAATGCGATGAGTATACTATATTAAAAAATGTAATGTAATCTTTGTGAAACGTCTTGTAACTTACTAGACTCTCGACATATATGTTGCAAACTATGGTTGACCTGTCACAAATTCAAACGTAAAGCATATATTTGCTTAAATATTTTTTTGTTACTTACGAATTTTAAAATGTGGGTTCGTATATTTCAAAATTTAAACTCATGCTTTACGATAATATTAAGCAATTATTAGTCATGAAAATTCATAAAAGTAAATTTTTGTTTACTCTTGTTTTTACTTCTATTTTCAATGGAAGTGAAAAAGAGATGCATTCTGAAAACGCTCGGTTATATTTTCATCAACAGCAGCTATTTAGTCTCAGACATTTACACGCAGCCCGTCACTTTGAATATATAGTAAAAGTGATGCTTGCTTAAGGTAAATCATTAGAACAGTTTTACTATTATAATATTAATATGAGATTTACAGATTAATAATGTATCCTTTTACCTCTATATACTTATCAAAGATGCTAGGTAAGAAATCTTTGATAAATTATGCTATCGAATGATGTAAAAAACGAGTTACATGACACAAGGTATATAATATTGATCTTTATCTTGTACAGTTGCGCACCTCCAACCTGCACGCAACCAAGTGGTGACAGCTGAAACTGGAAATTAGACAGAGACCTGAGAAGGGTTTAAGTCCCTTTTTATTCAACTTTAAAAATTACAAATGCGTGCTCTTGACGCTCACAAACTAGGACGACCCGGAGGTAAAATAAAAAAAAAGAACATGAAAAGAAATAATAACAAGAGACTAACTACGAGGCTCTCTAAACGTAACTAACTTCACCGCGTTTTACAATACCGCTGCTAATTCAGCAAACTCTGAATATCACGTTGAAAGATTAACAACTGGCCGAGACAAGCACACAGGCCGAAACGCGTGGTTCTTCAATTTCTGGCTAACTACCTCCACGCTCGTGAAGTAAGAACAGCACACCTCGAACTCGTTTCCTTTCTATTTAACTCAGAATACTTCCGCTGATAATTTGAATCCTTGCGCGTTCTACTAACATTTACATACTCTGGCATTGGCAGTTCCATGGGAAAGTAAGGCTTGACAGGAAAGATAGTTTAAACTTAAAATAAATGTTAGTTAAAATAAACATAAACCCTACAATCTAACTAAATACAGAAGGAGTTCACTTAGGATCTGATACGCACGGGAGACGGCTGGCCTCTCAACTTACCACTACTCCCACCCCAAACTAAAATCCCTGGATCTGCACGAACAAGCACAAATAGTTTCTATGAGAACAGTGGTATGAATCACATTTAATTTTCACTAATATTTAAACTTTTTGCATGAACTTCGCATTTGTACATCCTTTTGGTCTGAGAGATATTGCATAAGATGAATCAAAGTTAAAAAATGATAGAATTTAATGCAAATTAACCCTTCGCTGAATTTAAAATAAATGTCACAAGTAAAGAAATTATAAAGCAAGATGGATAATTTAAATAGAAGTGAAATTATAAGTATTAAAAAGACTGAATCTTTAAAGCTTTCCTAGGACTATAACACACGGAATGAATTTTCATTCTATATTTTTTAACTTAAATGGGCAAATTAACTTTTAAATGGCACTAAATCTCTAAACTTCCTAACATATAGTTTTAAAAGTTCACACTGAATATGTAACATTAATGATTACTTTCAAATTGTTAATGAAGTCTCCAAGCGGACAGCGCGTTTGTAAGAGAAGAAAAATTATCATTGTTGTTTACACTGCTTTTTTATTTGGCGAAAAGACTAATTTTAAATACCATGCTATTTTTAAAATTATGCAAGAGATCAAATATTTTATTTACATAGTTGATGAATATTTTTTGAATTAATATGAAATATCCATTTCTAAATTTATATTTTACTGCATTGCTTGTTATTGCACTATTTATGCCAAAAAGATCATTTTACTTTTATTCGAGCTGCTCAAAAATTTAAGTTTTCTTATCTATCTGAAATTACAATCTTCCAGAATTAAGTGTTCTCTTAATATATTTTATTTCAATTAAAAAATATAATTTAGCTCAATTTTAAAGCTTTATAATATAAGATAACCTGATTATAATGAAACTTTAAAGAAAAGAGTGAAATGATAACATTTGTATCAATTTGTATTTTTCTACGTTAAGTATTCTAAAATTAGAAAAGGGAATAACAAGTGAAATGCATAATAATATTAAGCAACTTCTAAATATATGCGTTTGAATAATAATAATAATGGTTATCTGCTACCTGCGTACTTTTGTACGCTGCTTACGAAAATAAATTTTCATATTTTTCTTTATTATCCATAGTTTCTTTTTCTTGTATGAAATTGCTTTTCCCTTATTTACTGTCATTGTTACTTTCGCTCATGCTGAATATCATGGATGTTTTATAAGAAGATTTGAAAATAGCAAGGAAATGTGTTACACTTTCACTTCAGTTAAAAAGCAAAAAGTTTCATTATGTTGCAAACAGAGAAAAATTACATGCAAATTAAGCGACTTATATAACTGATAAGAAACCTAAAGTTGCAAGTAGTAGACTTCTGTTATGTTTTATGAAATAGCCAATATGTTTATTACAGTGAATGTTTCTTCAGTTTTAGTTTTGAAATAAACTCATCTTTGATTTCCCTCCTGTCCGAAGGAAATAGTTTTAAAAATATATATACAAGAAAACTTAAACAAAATTGCTTCAATATATTAAAAAAGTATTTAAGGGAGGAATTTCATTAAACCTTTTGCTGAACTTTAACAAAGAACTTAGTTTCATTTTTATTCTAAATATTAACTGACAGAACAATTTAAATAAACGTACAGAGGAAAGTTGCAGAGCTCATACATTTAACAAATGAAAGTTTTTTTAATGCAGTGATAAATGATACTTTAAATAACATAAATTTTAAATTGTATTTGTATGCATTTAAATGAAAGATTTCGTCAATACTTACCAGTACCTTCTCTGTATGTTTTGGTTCTAATTTCTATTCCAGTATTGCCTGTAAAATAAAAAATGAATGAATTAATTATTATTAATAAATATATCACTCGCTACAACATCACTCGTTAAATGGTTTTAAAAATAGTTGAAAGAGATTCCACTATTATCATACTGTTGATGCACAAGATTTGCATTCCTCTCATATCAAAATTGCAAACAGTAATGTTACGAATTGTATATACATGTAAATAATTTTAGAAGAATTATATTTAAATTGCAGAATTTCTTGTATAATATAACATGAAAGCCCTTAGAAAGCGAAACATCTCCGGAAAAATAAGGTAACAGGGTACATTTAACATTGACATAAATGGCTATCTCGCGAATTTAGTGAGATAGCACTAAATCAAAATTAGTTTTAAAGACTAATTTTTGTCATCAAAAGTCACCAGTTTTGGAAGCATTTGACGGCATTTTAGTCTGATCTCTGCATAATTGTGACTGTATCCGGCCCTACGTAAACAGTCACTGCGTTTAATCTTTCAGTAATTTCGAGAAATCTAAGGAACTGAAAACTTCTCCAAGGGCAGGGAAGAATTATACAAGACTGGAGACACCATGAGTTTAGTTCGATTCTGTTTGGAATTCCTGACATTCGGATTTTGACTCGACTTTCAGACGCTGTAAAAGTAGACCGACCTATTTCCTCACTTCAGCAGTATTTTTCTACGTGAAATTTCTGCTCTTTTGTTTTACTTTCCTGCCACTGTGGCCAATATTATGAAAGCCATGTTTGATTTCATAAACCATAACATTAACTAGCTTGCGAGGACTAATCGTGCAGTGGAGCTTTTCGAGTCAGATCTCAAACATCTCCAGACCTTGCAGCTGCTTAAATCTATGCTCCAATCTACCTTCTCAAGTTTTTCCCGAAAAACCACCACCACAACTGCACAAGCGACCGCAATTAGAAAAAGTGCATGCAATCCTGAGCCTGAAACCTACAATAAATGTGCCGTCTTAAATGTGCCGTCGGATCGAGAGCTCCCCTTTATGGAATAGAGCAAGAAAAACTGCAATCTCTCAGGTAAAACACCCAGAAAACCACGTTCTAATAACATGCCAAATCACTGAAGCGATTCTAGACTAAACCAAAGGAGCCATCCGCATCCGCTCAGGCAGAGACTCGCAAAATGAAGCAATCCCCGAGCACTGCTACGCTTTCAGCAGACCGGTAGAAACCAATAGGGAACCAGAACGTCACTACCAATTTGGAAAATGCTGATGTGCTCCGTGACACCCCGCCTAACTCTGGATTTCGACATACTCAAAGCAATACTAAAATTCTGCCGATAGTTGTGCAAGATCTGGCTTTAGCATGGAAACAACAATTTGCTGGAAAACGAAAAAATTTAAAGACTTTAAGGTAAAAATGAAGAGCGACTACGATGTTGAAATTAAAGTCCCGACGGAGATCTTCACCGCCAAATCACGGCTTTATGGAACTCAAACAACGTGAAATATTACTCCGATAGGCTTCCAGACGGTAAATTTCTAAAAGTTATCATCCGGAGTATTTCCTTATCATTGACTCGAGTGAGATACTAGTGAGAAACTAGTGAGAAGTGAACGCGTTACACTTGGCTACTCACTCAAGAGATGCGTCTGTTCCTCTTCATGTTCCCAGGAGAGATAAATCAAGAACAATCCACCCGCTTAGAATTTCCGACGAACTTACACACCAGCATGGAAACTAACAGAGGCGGACGAAGTCCTACTCAATGCTATCGATGCCAGAATTACCATCATGCCCAAGCCCGATGTCACTTACCACCCAGCTGTGTCGAGTGCAATCAACGGTGCGAAACACACTCTTGCACCAAACCCCCTACAAATCCGGCTACCTGCGAAAATTGCGGCCTGAATTATACGCCGTCCTTTCATGAATGTATGTACTTTCCCAAATCACGAGAAGCTTCATCAGGAAACAGACTGTAATGTGAAACAACTAACAACAACGCACAGCCCTCACCGGACAAAAACAGGGATTGGGCATGCTAAGCTTGAAAAAGCAAAACTGGTGACTGCACACCTCACGTCTGCTATTTCCACGCTTATAGACGTCAATTCTCAACTTAGCAGTGTTGCTGCATCAAACTCAGTCATGCTTCCCCAGTCCAACTATGAATCATTCAAAACCAGTTTAAAAATCTCATTTCCACTATTTTCATCGTACGTTTGGAACGCAAAAAATCTCTCCACCAAACTACAAGATTTTCATCACTTGCTCCATCAGCACGCTATCGACATCCACCTTCTCATCGGAAGACACCCTGTTCCCAGGTTCCTAAAAAATGCTAACTATTCATCCTACCGCTGTGATGGATTCAAGCACCATGGGAGTTTCTGCTCTTCTGATAGTTCTTTGAAGCGGTGTGATTTAATATCATAATCCCAAAATTAGGAAATGCAGATTTTGTGCAATCTACAATTCACCTGACAACCAGATTGCTGAGGATGACTTGCAAACTTACCTCAACAATTCTGTTCCCACCATTAACAACAGCGATTTAAACTCCAAACATGTCAACTGGGTTGCAACTTTATGAATATTAACGGCATAACTATCTACATCTATGTCGAAAATCAACCTATTTTCATGTTTGTGCCAGAAGAGGCGGCGGCCTATTCCCCGAAGATGTTAAACAGATGTCCAAAAACTTTATACTTCTTCTTGGTAAATGTTCAAATGTCTTCAAACCATATCCCTGTCCTGGCAAACCTTGGAATTAATAAGCCAAATACCATCCTCTCAAGAAAAATTATTGAACTGGAAACTCCTTCATAATATTTCGGTAACCACCCCCATTAAAACAGGTTTTTTTCGTATCCCTGAAGATATCGACTTAGCAGTGCAAAATTTTACTTCAAAATTTCAATATTTCTTATTTTAGTTAACTACTGAGAAGATGAATCGTGACACTCACAGTCCCCCTCCTATGCACATCAAAGCAATCATAGAGCAGAGAAACAGGCTCAGAAAGTTGTAGAAGAATTCTATGTCCTGTTAAAACAGGACATAGTCTCGAATAATAAAAATGAAAACCTTAACTTAGAAGATGGCTCATTTTGGAATTACTTAATGAGAATTAAAAATTCTACGATCAGCACTCCACCAATCCAGAAACAAGAAGGCTTCATCTTCATCGATAGGAAAAAAGAAGACTCCTTTGTCTATCAACGGACTAGCCAATTCATCCCAAACGACACCCCCTGCTGAACCAATCTTCACCGCCACCATTAATAGGCACATGAATAGTTGGATCAACGCGCCTTCTCCTCGTAATAACATTCATCTTACTTCTCCAAAAGAAAGCACCGAAATCATCAAACATTCGAAGACCAGAAAAGCCCTAGGAAATTACTACAGAGGCTGTTCACACATTTTTAGACGATGTATATTGTATTCACAAAACTAAATTACATAAAATTCTTGTGTTTTAAATGTTCTATTTGACATCCCTTATTCTGAACTACCTTTCGACACCACAATTTCCAGGATAATAATGAGAGTGGCAGAGGAGGTATTCTATCCCATTCCTCCCGAACAGCTGTCCAGAGTCCTGTCAGGGTTTTGGGACAACGTTTGGATAATGCAGTTTTTAAAAGTCCGAAAGCACAAAAATCCATAGGTGACACATCGGGTGATTTAGTAGGGATATCAGTGAAGGGTATGCCCTTGATACCAGTTTTTTGTTCCAGTTCTTTTAGGAAATTTACAGTGGATTTTGATGTGTAACTGCTAGTTTTGTCCTGATGGAGTCTCACAGATTGATGGCACTGTGGGCAAAGCGATGGTATTTCATTCAGAAAAATTGGCGATAAAATATTTTCCTGATAGTATTTGGAGTTAATCCTGACATTTTTTTGCACTCTCTTTATTTTTAACTTGCCATTATAAGAAAAACAAGCAACAATCATGAATCCCTTAAAAAAACTTTCTTTAAATTCTTTGAACCATGTACTTAAATTTTTTCTCCACTTTTATGATAATAAATGGCTCTTTTTTTGTTACAGTCATTTAAATACACCCATGCTTCATCTATTGTGACAATTGTTTTCCATTTTTCTTTGGATAAGTGTTTCTCATATAGGATTCTGCAGCGTGTCCTGCGTTGAGCGATATGCTTTGGAAGAAGGCGATGCACATTGCGTTTTTTCGCTTTCTTAAGATTTAAATCAACATTTATCATTTTGCTTACAGTGGACACAGAGCATTTTATTGATTTTGCAACTGTCCTTTGACTAGGGGGATTTTCTTTTAACATTTAACAACGTACCTTTGCAATAGTCGAAGATGCCCGTTTTTTCTTGGGATACTTGTTTGGAATTTTTGTCCCACTTGAGGCTCCAAATTGACGTTTCTTTCTTTCTTGTTGATGATATTACCTATCGACGCTTTAGATATCACAAAACCATGACTCTCACATCGTTTTTGGATAACGGAGTATGCATATTTCTCTTCGGAAAAAGCGTAAATGTAGCCTTCGAACCACTGCTTTGTTAAATTCGCCATTTTGAATAAAAACAAAACTTTCAAGCAACAGACGATAATTTTGACTTTTAAAAATATAGTACAATTGCAATTACTTCTTTTGCAGCAAACGATTTTTTATTAACGCTTACCAAAATCGTCTAAAAATGTGCGAACAGCCTCTGTATATTTCAAACAAGCTCTTGAAATTAATGAAACACAATATCATCAACCAACTCGCAAGCATTTACAACGCTTGCCTTATAAGATCAGAATTCCCGGCTTTATGGAAGTATGCTGAATGATCAGTATGGCTTCCATAAAGGACTCACTACCACACATCAGCCCATTCGGATCTCAGAATTTATATAATCAGCATTAAAAATTAAACCCAGCATCGCAGTCCTCATGCTAGCTCAGACTAGATCAGACTCCTAATGAACTTATCCTTATTCTCAAATAAATTTACACCACAGAACCTTCGCGTTGAAGCAGGAAGATTTCGTCTCTGGTTATCATCCCATCTGGGCGGTGTTCCCCATGGTTCTTTCCTTGCGCCGGTTCTGTACTTAATCAGCGTACATGATTTATCGTATTTTCAAGACTCATTACAATTTGCTACCTGCTTCTATCCGAAAATTCCGTAGCCTCAATAATGCTCTACTCAAACTTTAACCTTCCAGCACGCGCGCTGGGCAATTTTACATGAGCACGCGCGAGTCGTATTTTTTACGACATCGAAATAAAATATTAATCTTATTATTGCATAATAGAAATGATATCACGTTCAAATATAAGTAAATTTTTTCTAGGTTCTTATGTTAGTGAGATGGAAATGCAATGATGTATTTCATTATAGAAAATTTAAATTTGTATTTAATAATTATATTTTAAATCGAAGCTAAATTTTAATATTCACCCAAAGGACAAGTATAGACAATAAAAAAGGAAAATACCTCGGTAGGAAAAAAAAGTAATTTTAGCATTACTTAAACTTCTGCAAGGGAAATTTACTTCTTACTGGTTACAAAAACGCACTTTAAACTAACTTTAAACTAATGTTTTTATGTATTTCTAAAAAATAGAAATTAAAGAAAATAAGGAATGGAAATCGCTATTGTTCTCCTATCCCTTCCTTTTCTTCATCAGATAATTCTTAAAGAATCCGAGCAAAATCAGCTGGTTGCACATATTGTTTTGGCATGAAAACTGATATAAAATTTACAGAGCCAAATGTATTCAAATTGAAATAATACACGGCAATTAATAACACAAAATTACAAAAGATGTGAGAAAAAAAAAATATTTTCCGAATTTTAAAACACGCCCACGCGCGTGTCGTCGCGGAAAACACATCCCTCTCGTCAATAACGTTAATTATCTGGGCGTCACCTACAATAACTCCTTCACATGGTCGATTCATATTAACGCAGTCAGACGAAAAATTCATGGACGGATTCCAAAACTGCATTTTCTGCTATTAGATTATTCAGAACTCATCATACAACGCAAAAAACGTATTTATACTATAATTATACGTCCCATCTTCTTTCACACACCCGTTTGGACTAACGCCCCATAAAATAATATACACTAAAAACTTGTGTTGCATGTCATTCAACACAAGTTTCTTCGAATTATCATAGATGCACCGTCTTTATTAGGATTATTTAGGTCTATAAGACCTAAAAATGAACTACATAAGACATCACTTAAATAAACTCAATGAAAACTTCTACAGTAAAGCCTTAAGCAACCCAAGTAGCACACGACGTTGCAAAGCCGTTCCAAATGGTCCGAGAAACTTCAAAGTGATCGTGGTAACTTTTGCGAAGTTGCGAAGAGGCAAAATATTTGCCGTTGCATATTGGCAATTTGTCGACGTCTCTGAAACGTCATGATATGACTGCAGTCAGATCTGAAACGACATGATATGACTGCAGTCAGATCTGAAACGTCATGATATGTCTGCTTTCAGACGTGGTCGTTTTAGCACTTTTTTCATAGTTTATCAGAGTTACTTTTAGAACGAAAAGAGACTAAATCTGCTCTTTCAAGAATCTGAAGTCCGCATAAGATTTATTTTGCAATGTTTCATTACCTTATATCATCTAAATATATTAATCTAAGGTAGATTCATCTAATGAGATATAAATTTAATATAAATACTTTTGATTTATT